GATCTGTGGAGGTTCTTTTTGTTGGGTCAAGAGCCCTAGTAGCACCCAAAAGGTGCACTTTAAACATTTTTTCAAGCAAAAATAATACACTTATAAAAAAATAGCAGTTAGTTTAAGAGGTATACATCTCATATGTAGACTTAATTCTTTAGTAATTTGAGATTTAGGTTTTTATAGAGTGGTGTTTTTAGTCATAGTTTTGATCGGACTTTTTCCTAGATTTCAGGTTTTTTTTTTAGAAAAGTTGGGGCTGGTGCTCGTTGGTGACCACTTTGCTCATTTTTTTTTGAGGTTGCACTCACTAATAACCACGAGATTTTCTGAGTATATACTAACTATAGGAGACACCTTTGAACCCATATCATACTCAGATTTATCCCCGTTTGTACGGGTCGGCTCAATTAAGGGGCAAAGTATGGTCATATTGGGTTTTCATATAAGATGTGATTTTGAACTCTCGACTTCTCGAAAAGGACAAGAGTGTACAGCCTCTCACGCCAACCAAGTTGGCTATTTAAAGAATTTTTTTGAAATATATATAGAAGGAATGTTGATACTTAAATGAATAAATTAACCTTACAAAACAAGGATTTTCAAACTTTTACACCAGGAACTAACAGAATTTGCATGTAAGGGACTATAAACACCACTTCAATAAAAAAAAAAAAAATACAAAAAAAAAAAAAAAAAGAAAGAGAACAAAACCTACACCTCAAATTATTAAGGGGCAACCCCGCAATATAGAATGATTGTTAAGTGAATTGTTAATACAACTGTACGTTAAAATCAATCAAAATAATTTTTTCCACAAAAAGAAAATTATTTAACCAATTTACGTATTTTGATTAGTTGATAGTAAAATAAAGATATTTTTTTTTTTTTTGAAAGTAAAGATATTTCTTTTTTAATTTACCATAGAATAGTTCAGCACAATGTGTCCGTAACAAGAAAAAAAAAAACATATGTCATGTAGTGATTGGGCATTAAATTAATTAGGTGAATAGTTGACCCACTGATTTGGGTTGTCTACTCACACAGGGATGGGTTTGGAATCAAATTGAATTCAATTGTCTTCATTAAAAGTATGTTTGAAGTACTGTTGAAAGGAGGAATTTCATGTAACATAAAATATGAATGATGATATCTTAATACTAGGTTAAACACCTAGCCGACAAACCAAAAAGGTGTGGCTTAGTGGAGGATGATTTCATATTACTTTAATTTGTTTCAAATGTCATATATATATATATATATATATATATATATATATAAAATTCAGTTCCCGTGCAGTTGAGTGTGTTCCGTGCAGTTATGCGGTTAAATTTGATCCATTGATATTGCCTAAATCAACGTTTAGGATTAACAATGATTAAAAAATGTGGTGGTAATTTGGTCTTTTTGCATCTAGATCAAATTTAAGGTGCGTGATTTTTGTACTGTGTGGCTTAAGGTGCATCAGTTGTTGAAAACTTAAGTGCGTTGATCTAAAGTTTTATGTGCGTGATTTTTTTTATTAAGGTGCGTGATTTGTGTGCTTAAGGTGAGACAGTTGTTGAAACTTAAGGTGCATCGGCTTGAAGCTTTAGGTGCGTGATTTGTATGCTTAAGGTGCGTCAGTTGTTGAAACTTAAGGTGCTTTGTTTGTGTGCTTAAGGTGCGTAGTTTGTGTACCTAAGGTACGCCATTTTAAAACTTTAGATGCGTGGTTTGTATTCTTAAGGTGCTTTGTTTGTGTTCTTAGGGTGCGTGGTTTGTGTATTTAAGATGCGCTATTTTAGTGCTTAAGGTGCGTCTTTTTGTATTAACAGCATATGAAGCTATCTTTGCACCTGATCCCCTCTCTCTCTCTCTCTCTCTATATATATATATATATATATATATATATATATATATACACACACACACTAGTAATTCACCCGCGCGATGCACGGGAAAAAATTATGTTATTATAAATATAAATAAAAAATAGAAAAACTAAAATATTTTAAATTATTTAATATAATAATATTTTTGAGCTTCCATTGGTCAAGTATTTATTATTTTTATAGAATACAAAATTACAATTAAAATTATAATTATAATTATAATTTTGTATGGTTAATATAATCTCTAATTATGTGCATATTCAAATAAACTTATAGAGAGAATTTGCATAATTACATTGATTTATTCTTAATTGTATTTCATCTATATTATAATTTTCACAATACGAATAATAACTAAGATAATTACATTTGGAAAGCAAATTTAAATTTTTGTATGTATAAATTTAAACTCTAATTGAACACATTTTTTATATGATTATATAATATATAGCTATTTTATTTTTTAAAAGTATATTTTTATATGATTATATAATATATAGCTATTTTATTTTTTAAATATTGTGTTTTTTTTTTCACAATACAAATAATAATTAAGATAATTACATTTGGAAAGTAAATTTCAAATTTTGTATGTGTAAATTTAAACTCTAATTGAACACATTTTTTATATGATTATATAATATATAGCTATTTTATTTTTTAAAAGTATATTTTTTATATGATTATATAATATATAGCTATTTTATTTTTTAAATGTTGTGTTTTTTTTTTTTATAATAAATGATGTTTTGCCATTAATTGTAACATTAATTATTTCCCAAATCATATAGCTTTATTATATAAAGGATGTATGTATGTATATATGTATATGTATGTATGTATGTATGTATGTTATGTATGGGATCATATGAGAACAAGTCTTTAAGAGAAAACTAAGAACCAATCTCAACTTTACATCTCAAAAATTTGGATGGATATTTAAGTGTTCAAGTTTGCATAGTGAAGTTGATGATAATTATGAAAATGCCACCGCATTTTTTTAAAAAAGTTATGATCAAAACCATCAAATTTTTACAGATGTAAGACTAAAATTTGTTCTTAATTTTCTCTCTCGGGGTGTGTTCTTAGCTTATGGGATTCAAAGCATATATAAATAAAATTTTTATCGAGTACCATTGAGTGTCCCCACAAAACTTAGTACAAATTTCAAACTTATAAAACCTTTGGCTTACTCCCAATCCAAGAGATATTGATATCGATCAATACTGGATTTTTCTATGGAAAATATTACATGTACTCTATCTTCTACTCTCTACTTTTATTTTACACACAAAATCTTGATGTAGACATTTACATTGAGATTCACATAAAAAAAAAAAAAAAGCAACATATACACATCGAGTAAAATTTAAGGAGTATGATTTGTGAGTTTATGTAGTAGAACTCTTTTTATATATATGCACACTATTAATTTCTACTTTTCTAGTATTAAACTCACTTTATAGATTAAAAAAATCTATTGGTTTAATAAACGGAAGTGACTTAAATCTATGAGATCAGAAATTTAGACTCATTTAAATGAGGTCTAATCATAGTAGTTAGTGAAGGGTAAAATTGGATGGGACTTGTGGCTACCTAACACAAAATAATATGTATTATCCAAAATTTTCACAAGCTATGTAAGCACACACATTTATACTAAGGCCATACCATATATGCCCTTTGACTTCTTCTTTTTTGGAATGTTTATTGCAATTTTAATCTTGAAAGTGGATCCAACAAGAGAAGGTGGGTAGGCTACTTTAGGCAAAACACAGTTTCTGGAATTTATTAATATTATTATTATTATTTAAAAAATATTAGTCATAGTTTGGGCATGCAGTAAGGAATTTTCAGATTGTGTGGGCTGGGGATGTGTGATAATACAAAGACATGAAAAACACAGATTATGACTATGAGGACATGCAATTAATGGTAAATTGGAAATTTTGAGGCAATTTTTTTTTTTTTTTTTAAAGATGATTCAATCAAGGAATGAAGGTTGTTCTTCTGTCCCTATCAAGAAATATTTGAGGATCAACTTTGTTTTCTGGACATAATAGGTTGGCTTTATTTTGGGAAAATTTAAGAAAAAGAAACATAAATTTTGTTTATTTTGGAGGGGCAACTGTGCAAACCTATTTGTCCTTTCCAAATATTGACAGTTCCACGAAAAACATGTTTCTATATATTATCTACATATATATCCATTTAGAAATTTTGTCATATTGTTGATTTGGTAACCATAAGGTTACAAGTAGTTTGCCTCTTAGCGGTGACAACCTATGTTAACCATAGTAGATCCTTTGTCAGTTAATTGGGATTACAAGACTCTGAAGCATGCACAAAGAGTCAACAACGTCTCAGGCCTACTTTCTCAACCTAATGGCTTTTGAATGCTACTGACTCTATGAAGCACAAAGAGTCAACAACGCCTCCACTGAGACCTACTTTCTCAACCTAATGAAGCACAAAGAGTCAACAATGCCTCCACTGAGGCCTACTTTTTCAACCTAATGAAGCAAAAAAAGTCAACAACGTCTCCATTGAGGCCTACTTTCTCAACCTAATGACTTTTGGATGCTACTGACTCTATGAAGCACAAAGAGTCAACAATGCCTCCACTGAGGCCTACTTTCTCAACCTAATGAAGCACAAAGAGTCAACAACACCTTCACTATGCTTTCACTGAAGTTCGATCTCATGACCTGACATCCCACATAGAAGAGGTCACTACATGTCATCTAAGCACAAGGTACTTGGCAGAATATTAACCAGTCTAATTTACTATCTTAGTATCTGATTAACTTGGCTGGAGTTTCCTAAAATTCATTCCCAAGTGGTATTTATAAGGAATGGAAGAAAAAGTACTACAAGGGAATGGAAGGAAATGATGATGGTACATGGAATATTTTCATTCATGTGGAGTGTGGCTTTTATTATTTAGTCTATTATATAATGAATTGTGTGGCATCAACATTATATTGTGTGTACTAGCACATCAAGTGGTTTACAAAGGCTTAAACCCACCCCCAACCCCACCCCCCACCTTCACAACACCCACCCTACCTCACCCCAAGTGGTCCCCACACCACAAAACTATTCATGGGCAATTGACACTTTTTTGGGCTACAAATTCCCCCCCACTCCTTCACTCATCCTTCATCCAACAATTCCATATATCCTAATCTCTTCGCTCTTCTTCTTCTCCATCTTCTTCTTCTTCTATCTTCTTGTGCTGATTGATTGAAAGTTTCTGTTACTTATCCATTTACAAACCTTAATTCCGTCGAACTTCTAGATCATATTTTTATATATTATATATTCTTAGAATATTTTGTCCACTTCCACCATGTCAACCATAGTATATCATCAACAAGGCAATCTTCAGTCGTGTTTCGAGCCTCAAATCTTCGAGATGACGGCCACCCTAAAGCTGAAGGTGCCGCCGCCGCCGCCGTGCCACCAGGAGGTTAAAGACCTGGGCGGTTGGAGTATGCTGCAGAGCCTCTCCGGCATTAATATTTCCAAAGACGCGGCGGGGGAGAAGGAAGCCGCCGTGTACGTTCACCCCCTTTTGCGGCGGCCGTCGTCGTCGCGGCTGAGCGAGAAGAGCTTGGCGCTGTGCACGGAGGCGCTGGGGAGCGAGACGGGGACCGACATGACGACGACGGAGAGCAGCATTTTCTCGTCGGCGCTTTCTTCCCCTGAGCCGACGAGCCGCCGGCGGGAGGAATCGCTGCCTCCCTTGTTTCCGTCATCGCAGCAACATATCGAGTCACGAAACGTTACCTCCGGCGCCGGCGCCGGCGCCGCATACAGGCCGATGAATAATAACGGCACCAGAAATTCAAGAAATAATAATTTCCCACCTCCCCTGACAACGATAAGCGGCGGCGCGAATTCTCTACGCGTCTGCAGGCCCCACCGCGAAGATGGCAGGTTGATAATCACGGCGGTGGAGACCCCATCAAAGCGCACTTATCTCCAAGCCGACCGGAGCAATGGCCGCCTTAGGCTATCCTTTTTCAACGCCGCCGACCTCGCTGATCATCACCAAAGCTTTGATCCTCAAATCACCACGAGCGAGGAAAGCGACGGCGAGGAATTCAAAGAGGAAAGCGACGAGCTTGAGGGCGACATTAACGGCGAAGATGAAGTTGCAGAAGTCCAAGAGGTTGAAGAAGATGAGGAAGAAGAAGAAGAAGAAAGTGACGTGTACATGGCAAGGGACATGGATGGGAATACGTCGAATGTTGAGGTGGAAATGGGAATTACGCAATGTCTGCTAGGCAGGTGCAAGGAAACTGGTGGACATAGCAACAAGGGATTGAGTCAATGGGGGGAGCCTAAGACTTTGTGGGTGTCTACTTGAAAAACCAAAAAAAAAAAAGAAAAAAAAAGTTTTTTTTTTTTTTTAAAAAAAATTAATTTGAATTTCTTTTTCTCCAATTTTAGTTCCACAATTCCTCTATTTTACCATCTTTTAATTAATTTCCTTCTCTATTATCCTTTTTTTTTTTCATCTTCAATACAACATATATATACCCCCATGCATTCATGGAGGTGTGTATATATTGTGGCTGGTAGTTAATATTGTTATACATGAACAACGGTTTCATATATGTATGACCTTTTAAAAACTGGCAGAACTTTTAAGTAGTTGAGCTTGTTTGGTGACTCAGATATGTAAAATATATTATACATCTCTCACTGTGAAACTCACCGTACAATAAATAGAGTAGGCCAACACTCTATTTTAAAGAGACTGATCTGAACTCTTGATGTTAACATGTCACACAGATATATGATTGATACAAGAAAAGTAATGTAGAACTTTTCATCCTTTAAGCTACAATATCTCATAACAAAAACTTTTTTTTTTTTTTTTTTTTTTTTTACACAAGTCCTACTTCGATGATGAATCAGTCCTCATAAGTCATAATGTCTTTATCATTATTATTTATTTTCAACTGGATTAGTTATTAAAATTTTGAAAATTAGTGTAATACTATACATACTACTTGGCTTCAAAAACAATATAATGCAAAAATTTTCTTCCTTTGAATTTCCCGCATCTCACAATAAAACCTGATTCAAAAGTCATCCATTTGACTTAAAATGTTTAATTTTTCTATACCGTACCATAGGGCCTTAATTTCTACAACAACTGACATCAACACAAGAGGTGAAATGACTTAAGAGTCGGGAGCACATTGTTAAGTCTAGTGGGTATGTAGCATATCGAAAGTGTGTATGAAAATGATAGATATATAAGAGTTAGCTAGGATATTAAACTTGAACATATCTATAAAGAACAAAATAGAGTACAGTTACTGAATTTTTAGTTATAATTTTGGTATAACATAATAGGGGATTGCTTAGTTTTAAAGAACCTTCTATGACCATTTGCTAGGTTCTTGAGGAAGACATAATGGGATACGCTCTCTGGAGTGGCGAGTGATAGTTTTTATTTTTATTTTAGGGTGAGCACTTTTTTCTACTTTTAAAATGTATAATTTAAATTCAAATAAAGACTAAATTTAAACAAGTTTGTTGAGTATTTTGTGCTCAGTTAACATCTCTGTGGCTCTCCTTGAGGGAATGTCACATGATTGTCGGTGGTGAGAAATTGACTATTTGGACTACAATAGATGAAGAAATTATATTGAACATATACTAACTTGTAATAGAGTTGATAGTACTAGTGAGAAGACAAGATTATTTATATGATTAATTAATATTCTAAAGTGAGTTAATTAATTAATTAACAAAACTAGGCTATTAGATGCTGAATCGGCTAGATAATGATGTTTCATGTTCCACGATGTTGTCCTAAGAATGCATTATGTCGTCCCCACTAGGCATTTAGCTGTACGACGTCGTCACAGTTTAACAACAAGAGGGAGAAGTGTCAAAATCTAATTAACTCGATATGTTTTGCATGCCACAAGTATATGCAAGTATAGGTAGCTAATTTATATTTTTATGATTATTTTTTAGTTAAGGTTATAAGTAAAGTTTATTCAGATTACGAGTTTTTACATTTTTTTCAAAATGTTGAACCCCTCAATTCTAAGACTCCCTTATATCCGATCCGACAGAGAATCTGGGAGAATATAAATTATGGTAATTCAGTTGAACACATATGCTAGATCTTTGCTTACTGTGCATTAGAGGCTTTTACTAAATCAATGTATGCAAGTGTAAGACAAAATTATTGTTTTCTTAATAATCATTCAAATCAATCTTAATTGTAGTCTATACATACAAAGCCTTAAACATTTTCATGTACCATATGTCACAATCATATCATTGTTGTCTATCATGTGCATTCTAGTCACGTACATATGCAACTGTCATGCTGCAACTGCATGTTTTTTTAGTAGGTTGATTGACGTTGATCGAGACGATCTATCGCATTAATAATTATGAGCGAGCAATACACGTGATAAAGAGTTAAATATTTTTAGATATTACTTCGATGAGGTCCCTTTTTTATTATTTAATAATATCTATCGACTCATTTAGTAACACTTGAATAAAAATATAGACAGACTTTGTCATTTATGATGATGTATCATGTAATTATTAGTCGTCACCACATATACCTCTCAATGCAAAAATTTAACAATGCACTAGGGTACAAGTATTTCTGTGTTTGAAGGCCTTTTAGCCAGTTGTGCAATTGTTATATTGCATTCAGGGTGGACCCAGTCCAAATTATGTACATATTATAATTAACATATTAAATATATGTATAATATGCAAGGTGAACCATAGTCTATGGTATAATATGTGTCAGTTGTGACATATCCCATGATTTACCCCATCCATCTGTCTCTAAGGTAAGAGCTAGCGATGAGGGACTTAAATTTAATTATTAATAATGCATAATACATTGATTTCTCTTTTATACATATCAACCGCAACTTTTTCAAGACAGAAAAATCGCACGAATTGATTGATTTTATGCTAAAAGATTGCAACTAACATGCAACTTATTTAGTTGCATGTTCTTGGTGTTGAAAAACAGGTTTTTTGTCAAATTGAAGTATCTAACAAAAATGGGGTTCTCACACATAGCTAGGGTAGTGCAAGCTAGTCCAAACTTGAATTTCAAAAGCTCTAAAAACTTTTTTTGCTTTTGTTGACAAAGTTAGGCTCAATTAATATTGAAACGTGAAAAGATTCCAAATGTCTAAATAAGTGGGAGAAAAAACCAAATGTGTACCTTCAAAATCTTCCATGGGAAATTAATTCTAAGAGACATATATGAAGAGAGGAAGTGTGTGTGCATGATGATGACAACGTTACGTTCAATTCAAACTTTGCTAAACACTCATTTTGGGGTTTCAAAAGGAATTTTTTTTCGTTGGATTTTTATTGCCACACACCAAAGTTATTATTATATGTGAATAAATAATGTATAATGTAGTCGCCGTTGTTCTTGTCAAGAATGGTATCTAGCTACCTAAGCCTATCATGGGCTAACCTAATATTCTCTTAGGTCAATGTTTGACCTAATTAAAGCACCCATGGAATACTATTATATAAATGCTTTTCACTTGAATTGATGGCTTGGTGAAACCTTGGATAGTTTGATAACGGGTAAACAGCTAAACAAGATAGATCAGAGTAGTCCCCTAGATTGAGGTTATATATATATATATATATATATATATATATATATATATATATATATAGTGCATTCACGAATAGTGCACTTAAGATTTATAATGATACTCAAGTGTGTACATTATATCTTATTCACTAATAACTGATAATTTACTCATGATCTATAATGGTGCATTCAAGTATGTGTATTAGTAGTTATCTGCGGGTGTGTTATTAAATATTTTTCAATGCATTATAATAATTATGAAAATATCATCTTTTTTAACTCTATTTTTTCTTATTTTCCAAGGTGATTGATAGAAAGTAATTAAATGTTATCGCTTGACATGAGAAAAAAAAAGTTTGCCACAATTAAAACAACGTCAACTATATTGATCAGACAATTGACTTCATAACCATAAGATTTTAAATTAGACTCTCCGTGAGACTTTCTGGTAAATTAAAGTATGAACGTTTTGAAGACCGCCTCAGTCAAGTTGCTCAAACACTTGACTTGGTAAGTAAAATGTTATTAAGTAATTAAGTTTGACTCTCAACAGGAATGGCTTATTGGCTTTCTTGGTTTGAGTCGATTAGCTATGCGCAACATAGGTTGATTTACTCCCTTATGGTCTTTGACGATTAGGGTCACAAAACAGGATTTACTCCATATACATTCTCGAGTAGTAACTGCAGATTTCTCTCATCACTCAAAGTATGAACCCTATTAAGAGAGAGATTTCGCTTTCGTGAGCAAGTTTGACGCAACTCATGATTGTAATTAGCATGATAATGTTGGCCTAAAAGAACCATGTACAACGTGTACCACGAAGGGTCGAACGTTTCCTCTTTCTTGTATGTTCTGTTCATGTACGTCTGTTCAAGATCTGGAAAATCTATGAAATGTTATTTTGAGAGATCTGACCTCCTGCCGTATATAAACATTCAACTTTATACCAGAAATCCCAGCTAACAACATTAGAGTGGGTGACCGATCTATCGCAGGAATCTAATCACTTTAGAGATTGTAAAACTATGAGAAAAAGATGCCAATCAAATCAGTTAATATAATTGTAAGATCAAAAAATTAATTTTATGAATTTTAGGTTAAACTTGTTACAATTAAGAGTTAGATTGTGGGCACGGCTCATATCAAATCTGAATTACTTTTATAGTGATAGAGTTATCAAATGGATACCTCAGTTGGTAGATGGTAAACAATATAATGATACAAGAACAAGCCTGACAATCACAGCGTGTAAGATACATCTAATGTTTTGAGTTTCTTGTGGGTATCAAATACTGGTCCTTCCATCTATAATTATTATATTATGGACCATAATCTATCTTGCAGATAAACAATTGTTATACCATGCATCATGGTTCATATTGCATTGTGAATCCTGATACAAAAATTCAGTATGTTCTGTTAACACATTTTGTACATACATTTAACCGTTTCTATATACGTAAACAAATAACTGGATAATTACTGACAAATAATATGATAGCTACATGTACAAAAATTATCAACTGCAGATACAAAATGTGTCAACTATAGATACATAATCTGACTTGATAATTGCTGACACATAATATAATAGCTACATGTACATAAACTATCAACTGCAGATACAAATGTGTCAACTATAGATACAAAATTTAAAGGTTATTTTTGGACCAGGGTCTACAATGCAAGGTAGACCCCGGTCCATGGTATAATTTACCATAGATGAACCATTGACATAATGTTCATTTTTAGTAATTGAAGGCTTATTTTCTAAAGTTTTTTTTTTTTTTTTTTTTTTTTTTGGGTATATTGAAGGTTTATTTTTAGGTATACTACCAAAAAATTAACTTTCAGAACATTAGAATATTCAGCATACTAAAATTAAACATTCATATGTGGTCCATATTGCAATGTGGACCAACCATGGTCTATAGTATAATTATCCTCCTATCTAT